GTGTTTGGGGAACCAAGAAGCAGCTTGACACCATCAGAAAAGGTAGAAGTGTTGAAGGTAATGGGAGAGATGAGTAAGAAACCAGCCATGTGAAGGAGGCCATGATGTCTAGCAAAGGGAGCAACAGCGAAGCCCTGCCCGGTCATGCATAGAGGCTGCAGAGGAGCCAACTTTATCAGAATCCCCTTGACCTTGACTTTCCTTTTCCTTTCAAATTTGGTGTCCTCTATGGTCTCAGTTCTCTGTTTTTATAGTGCTGACTTTTTAAATCTTTGGAGAGGAGATGGAAAAAACGGTTAACCTGAGGCATAGAATTCAATCCTGTTATCCCCTAGCAGAAAATAATCTTTGTATAAAGTAACCAAAATCACAGAAGTTATAAATATCCTTCCTCACAACTGCACTGTCCAACAAGAACACCGAGCGCCCAAACATGGCCAGTTCAGTTGAAGTAGGCTAGAGACACAAAATGTAAGCAAGCCTCAATACTTACAACATGAATTCGGAATATGAGTCACTTCCTATAATGTTAGAATGGCAATATTGGGTTAGTGTGTGTCTGTCTGTGTGTGTGTGTGTGTGTGTGTGTGTGTGTGTGTGGATTTGCCAAGTGATTCCTGAGATCAAACTCAGGAATTTGGGTCCATCGGCAAGTGCCTTTATGGGCTGAGCTATCCTCAGACTTCTCAGATGACCCATTCATAAGAACAGTGCAGCCCTTTGTTTGCCAGTGTTTATTCCATTATTATTTTTTCACCCTTGGAAATAGTCATTTAAATAAGAATAAAATATTCATAGAATTCAACAAGACCTGTTTCTTGGGGACACACGAGAAACAAATAAGTGTTGAAAAGAATTATTAGCTTTATCTCTAGTAACACTAAATAAACAACAGGCCACTGTCCTGTGGCATAGACACATTATAAGAGAATTTCACTGTGTGGCATGAGCTACTGGGGGTAGATGGAGGCTCCTGTTATCAGAGCAGCTCTGTGAAAAACACCATTCCGATGTCACTGTCTTCCCCAGTCTGTGTGAGCAGACTGAAAGTGCTGCAGGTGACAAGAATAAAAAGCTCTACTTTTTCAGGAAGACTTTTCACTGCTGTAGGCGACATCTATGCAACCCTGGCAAAGGTAGTCCTGGCAAAAGGAAGTGATGGCTGGAAAGACAATTAGTCTGCTGGCCCTTGCAACATTCTGCTCTCAGTTTAACAGTAACTACATGCCTGGAGCTCTCAGCATTTATTATGACATAGAGTCAAGAAATCTTAAGAACACTTATGATTTTTATCCCAACTTCCCCATTATTACATTATGAAAGTATTCACTTTGTACGTGTTTGCAGGAACTGCATACATACCACTTAAGTCCCTCAAGAGTAACTTACAAATGAAATGCTCTTTTATCCCTTGATTAGTTACTTTTCATTTTGCTGTGATAAAATACCTAACAAGATGAAATTTAAGTGAGAAAGGCTTTATTCTGGCTCACAGTTCAAAGAACCACATTCATTCCCTCATGGACCATGGCAGGGAAGCCTTGGTGGCAGGACCAGGAGGTCTGCAGTTCATGCAGCACCCACAGTCAAAAAGCAGAAAGTAAACAGAAAGTTGAGCTGGCTTTAAAAGCCCCACCCCCACCTACACCCTCTAGCTCATTGTTGTGGCTTTCTTCCTCTAACAAGGCCGCACCTCTAAATATTGCACAACTTTCACAAACAGAACCACCAACTGAGGACAAGTGTCCAGACACATAAGTCTACAGAGGGCTCATCATATTCAAATCATAGCAACCCTACACATTTTGTTACGGTTTTCCAAAGAATATGGGTATTCTCTTCCATAACACTTGCCATTAAAATTTTAAAAATTAAGAGAATAACATTTGTATAATTATAAAACAATAAGATTCTATCTTATCTACTGACCTTCAAGTTTTTGAGTTGTCTCAAAGCTGTCACTTATGGCATGAAAATGTATGTTTTAAGAATCAGTTTGGACTAAGAATTCACTTGATAGATATATTTATATGTTCTCTTTTTGGGTGAAGAAACTCTTTGTTCAGACACATATACACCACATGACTGTAGTATCTAAAAGGTCAAAACCTGATTTTTGTAAGATGTTTATCTGGGCTTGAGTAATGCTTCTATATGATGAGATTGGTTATAATTTTTGGTGGGTTGTCATGGAAACCCTGCTGCATCCTCAGTATAAAAAAATCATAGACACTTGGTCCATTATTATTGAAGTCATGATACACTGCTTGGTTATAGGTTCTTAGTAGTGTTCTTTAGTGTCAAGGTGCAAGTTTTCCACGCAATTAATAACTATTATCTTGACAAATGACTTGAAAATGTCAATGTCCTGGTTGTCATCAAATCCCATTGATACATTTACCACCCAAGGATTATGTTTATGTCATGGAATTTTCAGTGTGACAGTTGCTAAATCCTAATTTTCTATTAGATTTCCCATCAATATTTTAGCTGCTTTTTTGTCTCATTTTTTAAATTTTAATACCAACATATGCTCAAGAATTCTTATCTGATTCAATGTTCAATAGTCTGCTACTCTAACCATCTCCTGGCAATCAATTTCTCCATTTCTGCAGGGAGCCCACTCCCAGATGGTTCCTGTGCCCTGACAGATTGTCATCTGTCTTCCACCACCTCCTTCCTTTCTAAAACTAGCTCCTTCAATCTGATGGAACATCACCCTTTCTCCATCTTAGAATCATCACTTCCCTAATAAATACTGGCTTCCCACAGTGGGGGCCTCTGTTGGTAGTTGTGCTCACTTTGCTGGAATTTAATGTTTCCAGAACTCCTAAAACCGAGAGCCAGGAAAGGAGGAAATAAATGAACAAATGCGTTTGTTTCTTGAATGTTTCTCTGCACACAACTGCACACCTGTGCTAGCATGTTTATACATATTCATGCCTGGGCAGATATACAATTCTGTGAGAGTCCATGGTTTCATGCGTGTGTACGCATGTGGAAGACAGGGGACCACCACAAGCAGAATTCACCTTTTATTTTTAACTGGCGGCAGGATCTCTACTGGTCTGGAATTTGTCAAGTAGCCTAGACTTTCTAGGCAGCAAGCCCAGGCCCTGCGATCCCTCCACCTGACACCACTTCCCTACCATTGAGATTACAAGTGCAAACCACAACCCTGCCTTAACACACTGGCTCTGCAATTGGATGCAGGTGTGAATGAGCCACTTCCCCAGCTCATGGCCCATGTTTCACAGATGAGAATCTAGATACTGTAGGATGCCATGAGAATAGAAATAGACATAAGATTATTGATAATACTTAAAAAATTCTGTTTAAATTCTTGTTGTAAATTGTCACTTGGTTTTCAGTAAAAAAATAAAATTATATATATATATATGTATATATATATGTTATATATGTATATGTATATGAATAAAACATGATTTTATTATATGTGTACACATTGGGGAACAGCTCCAAGCTACATAATCTGGTATTATCTGACACATTTATTATGATTCTGTGGATAGAACAGTTAAAAATCTGTTTTCAACAATTTTAAAGTACACAGTACAGCTATGAAAACTTCAGTTATCAAGCTGCATGATGTGTCTCTTTAGCCATTCCTGCTGTCTACCTGGAAGTGTGCACTCTATGGCCAAAGTCTTTCCAACTCCTTCTGTATCTCCCCCTAGCCTTCAGGAGCCACCATTCTATTCTCTGCTACTTTGAACTTTTCATTTTTAGATCTATATATTGGAGATATCCTTCAGTCCCTGTATTTCTGCGACTGTTTTGTTTAACTTAAGAAGTGCCTATAGCTTGCTGATCATTCTGGTTTCCTTATTAATAACCTCACAACTTTAACAGCCTATCAGCTCAGCCAAAGTTATATACTAAGCTGCTGTGCGCAGGCAATTTGCTATCCAGCACTATAAAACTTTTGTAACAATTTATCCATTGTTACCACTTAAAAATCAAAAGCTACACACAACTGTGGGATAACAGCAGTGCTCCCCTTCTTCCAATGATTTCCGTCATTCTTGCCCAGATAGCACATGGGTAAGGTAACTTTCCATTTTGTCAATGAAGAAACTGATAATTTCTGATAAGCCTGGATCTGAGTGGCAAGTCCAGGGATAAGGTTAGCGATATCAGCTGCTATGGAGTTGTCATATTTTAAGATTCTGGCAAAATGAAAGATAGATCTGTTTTGGAATGTTCACAAGAACCAACATTATAGATGGAAAGGATCGACTTCTCTCCAGTAACTCCTTAGAGCCTATGATGCTAGAGTATTGCTAAAATTGTTTCAAGCCTCTTTTTTCAAACGATGCAAATCCCAGGGATTAAAACACAGTATTCAGGAAGCCACAGAACACTGCTAGGGGAGTTGTGTGTATCTCCCTCATTTTCCTTTCTAGAAGACCATGCCTGGCACAATTTCCTAAGAGACTGGAGGGAGAAAAGAAGCTTTGGTGATTAGATCTGTCACTAAAATAAACACCCAAGCACAAGGACATCAAGCTCGGTTCTCCAAGTGACAACAGAAATAAATTTCCTTTTTAGTAGTTAATATTTTCTCTTCACTTTACGTGGCTTTTAAGCTGTGCATTTGTAGTTATGTAATGATAAACAATGGCAAAAAGGTGTTGCATAAGGACATGATAGCTAGACACATCAAGCTGAGCAGTCAATACCTGCTCTAACTAGAGGGAAGAGAGGCTTCTAGAACTCGAGGGATGTGCCTTGTGCTGTTATCATCTAATGAAGAGAAAGTCAGGATGATGTCCAGGGAGTGAGAAGCCCACATGCAGGAGAAAATGGCTACTTGGAAATTAGAGGTGGTGACCACACCAAGCAAGGCAACTGGGAGTCCTGAGGCCTGACCACTGAGAAAATGAACCCTATTCACTGTGATTAACAACTTTGCATGCATCTTCCTTCAGTTCCTTGAGGTAGAAAACAAAAGGTTAAGAAAAATAAATTGCACCTACCTGGATGAGATACAGATCCTCAAGCTGTAGTCTGAAGAGATAGTTTCTGCAAAATAGAAATAGAGGACAGGTTACCTTTAATAGGTCCCAAAAGTCAAAGTCTGTGAGTATCATGAGAATGACAGGTTAAAAAAAAGGTAACAATATGGGGGACAAAACACCATCCTGTTACCGACATGGGAAACAACTCTCTGACTTCTCAAGAGATGTGCGTCTGAGACTGCTGAGAGGGCAGTGGACTGAGCAGTGTGTATGTGAGAGACAGATGCATGCCCCCATTGCCTGCTAGAGTTGATGTGAATTAGGAGGAAGACGTGGGTACTTGATTCTGAAGATAAGTTTACTGTAAGGAAGATGAGACCCAGCTCTCCTTCCAGGGTCTACTCTCACCTCTCAACAGCATTTACTGGGTTTTCTTCTTAGACTCTGACTCCTATCTGTTCCCCAGCATCTGCTTTGCTGGTTGGGTTCAGCTTAAAGGCACAAACTTATCAATTTGCCCAAGGAAACGGATACTGCCCATAGTTCCATCAGCTTTGCAGTTCATATGTGATATAGAAATCGGAGACAAGAGAAGTACCAATTTCAATAAGGAATGTGCAAGGGACACAGCAGAGCACAGACAAAGGACAACAGCCATATGAGGTACCGTAGCCTTTGGATTTGTAGTTTTTGGACAACAATTGATTGGCCTCTATCACAAGTGGTGCCTCCAGATAAAATCATGAGAGCCTCAACAGTATCAGGAAGAGGAGGCACTGAGGCAGTCAAACCATCATGAGGAGAAAAGATTGTCAACCCAAGCATAGCTCAGGAGAAAACAGAACACAAAGGAAAGTCCCCCTTAAGATGTAAAAGGTCAAGAAGACTCAGAGAAGTCAAAGGACAAAGATGTGTAATGACAGCTTGGTTTAAGGTTGCTTCTGTGGCATGAAGAGAAAAATAAGAAACAACATTCGCTGTTGGGAGGGAAGAGTGTCATGTAAATACAAGCTATAAGAAATAGATACAACACTCCAGAAACGAAGACAAGTACCAGCCAAAGAAGGTCATGGGTATTTTGAGAGGACTGCTCCTGAAACTGTACATAGAGACAGGTAGACAGAACACTGAGGAGGAAGGCATCCAGTTACATAGGTACTGGGGGAAGCAGGGGCTTGGGCTACTGTCATGAGTGCCACACACGAGTCACTGACTGCTACCAGGGTTTTCAAATGGTTTCTGAAAACTGTTCTTCAAAACACAACAGTAGCCTGTTCACTATTTTTCTCTAGATATGCTGTGGAAGAAAGTTCTAGAAACCTTGGGTAGTTTATGCCCCCATAAGCAACATCAGACTTGAACATTTTTGAAGACAGGGAACACCATGTATGTGCTATGAAGAGACCAGAGACCAAAAGGAATGTCCTATGAAGGGGGCAATGAAGACATCCTGCATATGTGTAAAAGGAAAAGGACTATGGAAACATTCAGATATGCCAAGCATATGATCTCATGTAGTGACAGTGACAGCAGGACAACAGTCCTTGGAAGGAAGTTGGGAATCTACACAGAGTTGAGGATTTTAGATGAGAATTTTAGGCAAGGCCCAGCCGTACCACACCTCTGGCCTCTCTAAGCACTCCCACTCTCTGCCGAACAGGATCTCTCAATTGGTGCTCTGGCTGAAGAAGGCTTCCCTTCTATTACTGAAGTAACCTGTGCTTTAGGAATGCTTACACTGCGATCAATCAAACTTGCCAACAAAACTGAATGACTGCTCCAGTCTCCTTGCCTATAAAATGAAGTCAATAATCATCTTCAGTCCTACACTTGGGAAGTTTTAAGCCCAGACATAAAACAAGAAACCACGACTGATCCTTTGTAAGCATACAGTTGGCCGTCCAAATGTCTAATCTGGTTATGAAAGTGATTAATAGTTTTCAAAGCATCAAAGTTCTCAGCATATGTCCCACTGTGCAGGGAAATGGAGGGGGATCAAAGGCAGAGGACTGGCAAAGCCAACAGTCTTCTCTGCCTGGCTCCCTGCTGAGTTGTTGGTCAGAAGGGCAGTGGTATTCTCTTGCCATTGGTCTGAGACTCACCAAGTTTTTTTCTTTTTTTTTTTTTTGTCAACTTAGCAGTCATTTTAAGAAATAATTTCAAGTAAGTATCTTCAAGTATTAGTAATATTGTGAGGATCATCATGTACACAGACATCTTCATGTTCATAGTGCAGTACTGATCTCAGAGGATGTTCCCGAAAATAGCCCCATACCCAAAGAAAAAGTGACACATATCCTTGGGCCAGGGAAAAATGCAGATGGCGGTGCCCATCTGATAATCTGAAGTTTTGGGCATTATGGCTGGGAAGAAAAGTCCAAAGCCTTTCTCTATTTGAGGTAGGGATGAAAGGAGTACCAGGATGACTCACTACAGTCTCTGGTTCTAGTTTTCAGTGTTTTCCATATCAGAAGACACCCAACATAAGATGATCACCCATATTACTCCAAACAAATTCAAATTTCTAACCAGTGTTTCCCTTGCTTCTCACCTGTTGGTAGTCTTTAAACTTAGCCCAACTCCCTTCAGATACTGCCAATTTCAGTATGTATTTTCTTTCAAAGTGCCTGATGACTATGGCTCCCTCCCAACCATCTCCTAGATAATAAATTTATATGGTAGAGGCACTCAGAAAGTGATGTAAGTAGGGGCAGAGAGGAGATGATGTCTCCTAGGAACAACCCCACAGTCCCTGTAAGTCCCATCATCATCACCACCTCTACTCTGCTGTTCCGAGAATTCATTGAGGAAGAAATGACTTGTCCTTGGGTACATCCTGAGTTATAACATGAGCACTGATGATTTTTAACTCATTTTCAATCTAAAAGGTACCCATTGACTACAAATTTTCTGGAAGCAAGCCACTAAGGGATAAACACCTCTAATTTGTAGAGGAGAGGTGTTCTGCAAATGGAGAGATGCAGTACAAATGGCTCAAGGTGGTAGAGAGTCAGAGAAAGACCCCATCTTTATTTATATCTGTGTCTGGTGGCCTTGACAATCAACCATCCAAGTTCCTCTTCCTCATTTTACCTACACCAAACAGAGACCAAAGTAGCAGCCCTTAGGATGTAGTCAATTCTCATCTCCAATTCACACCCATGGACACATTGACACATCACTGTAAGATGATCAGGCCCCAGTGCTGCTCATAAATGCATTACTTCTAGACCATTGACCTTCACCTCTGTGACTATGGTCTGGCTGTGACATATGTCTCCCCATTGAAAGAGAACAAGTTGGCCTGACTGATTTGATTACATGGAGCCTCTCTCTACCTTCATTATTTTCTTGAATTCTTCTCTAAACTACCTGCCTACGTTTCATTTCATGAAGGACCAGGCTCTACACTTACAAAACAGGAAAGTAGAAGTATACAGTCTGCCAACAAACTCAAATAATTGACAATCTTTAGATGTTACTTTTTTTTTTAGATTAAACTATAGCTGCACCTTTTCACCTTTCCCTTCCCTCCATCCCAACCTCCCCTTATATATCCCCCTTGTTTTCTTTCTGATTTGTGTTTTTTCCTTTAATTGTTACTGCTGTTGCTGATTTGTGTGCGTGTGTTTCTTTATTCCTAAATCACATTCTTTTTATTAAAAGGAACCATAGTGCATAGGTATAGGATGGACAAAGTGTCTGTTAAAGTGCACAAGCATGAAGACCTGGGTTCAGATTCCCAGCAGTCATGCAGGGACCTGGGTGTGGGACTGTATTTCTACAGCTTTCAGTTGGTACGGGAAGGGGAGGAGTTTGGAGATGGGATTCCTAGAACTCATTCATCAGTCTAGCCAATTGGTGAGCTCTAAGCTCAGCGAGATGCATAATCTCAAAAAATGAATTGAAAAGTAACTAAAAATAACTTCCTATCAGTTTCTGGCCTTACATACTCGCACATACACACATTACACACACACATACATACATACACACACACATACACACACACACTAATTAAATAAAATTAGTAACTAAACAACTATTGAAGTGACTGAGTTAAGGGGTCACAGAGTTGTATGAACATCTCTGTAATTGGGACAGGAAGTTTATTCCTGGGCCCATGTGCTGAAGCCATGGTCACCAGCTGTGGCACAATTGTGAAATAGAGGAACTGTTAGGGAATGTGGTCATGCAGTAAAAAGTTAGGCCACTGTGGGTGTGCCATTGAAGGAGCTACTAGGACACTGGCCAGCTTCAATTCTCTGTCCCTTTGTTTCCCAACCAACAAGGTACAGAAGTATCTACTACAACCTCCACCAACACAAAAGGTGAAAATGGGCACAGCTGAAAGTTCTGAAGTTGTGAGCCAAAGGAGAATTGTCCTTAAACTATATTAATGATTTCAAGCAGTTTGTTATAAAGCAATGGTGGGAAGGTAGCCAACATCTATCTAACAAAAATAAAATTAAAACTAAATATATCAAACAAATTTCAGTAACTTCTGACTAGTTTAAATGGTTATATTTCCCTAAACCAACATTTAAAAATAATATTATCAGATATTATTGAACCTTATGATCTAAAACAGGGAAGATGCCTTTATTTGCATAAGTTCACTTAATAAGTACTAATGGCAATATTTATAATCCATAGTGTTTTCTTTTGTGTTTGAAATGGTAATATAATTATAACATTACCCCCTTTCTCTTTCCTCCCTCCAAATCTTCCCATTATAGCCATCTTTTCTCCCTTTAAAATCTGTATGGTCTCTTTTTCACTAATTTCACAAATTATTGTTGTGGTTGCTGTTGTTGTTGGTGTCTGTGTGTGTATGCGTACCCCTAAATATAACCATAATCTGCTTAGTCTGTATAATGCTATTTATATGTATGTTTTCAGGGATGACCATTTGCTACTGGATAACCAACTGTAAACTATATTCTTGATAAAAAAAACAAAAAACAAAATACAACCCGACATTGAGAATTTGAAACTGATGTTACCTGAATTATGTGTAGCCTTGCATATTACCATTATCTACTTAAATATATATTTGTATGT